GGGCTGTAGGATTTCATGGCCCATTTACAGTATAGTAGTGTGGGGACTGTAAGGGGGTTACCATGATACTGGGTGTCCTAGGATTCTATAGGTCTAGGTTCAGAGGGGGTCTACGGCGGAGCTGGGGTTCTAGGCTTAAAACTTTGTCATAACCCTGGGGCTCCAAATCGCCCAAAGTAGGTACTATTTACAGACTTTAGAACCCAAAGTAGGTCATATTTGTATACTTGGAGCCCTGGGGTAAGATTATATACTCGCTCTGGATTCTCGGGGTATAGGGCTCCAGGGGATCGGATCTACAGGAACATGTGGGGTGCAGGGTTTAGGGCTCAAGGAGTCGACGTTTATCGTACGAAGTTCTTTTGGAGGGTATATGAATTCAAACGGCAGGGTCCATGGTCCAAGGGTGTCGAATTTCGGACTTATGGTTCGGGATCAGGATCTCTAGAACTATTAATATTCTTAACCAGCTGAACCTAATAGAGCTGTTTAGGGCTTCCTAAAACTGTATATGGGTCCGAGACAAGTCCTAGGAAAGGTCGGCTTTTCGGGAGGTTCAGGTCGATCTCAGATGAATTCCTACCTCTTTTCCGAGCATGACCTGGCGAGAGCGAGACAAACGCCCTCAAAGGCAACATACTGGTTGATGATAGAAATCCTGCATGAGCTTATGGACCCTAAGCTGTGGGAATTATGGTATATTCCTTAACCCTGGGGCTCCAAATTGCCCAAAGTAGGTACTATTTACAGACTTTAGAACCCAAAGTAGGTCATATTTGTATACTTGGAGCCCTGGGGTAATATGGGTCATGCAGGATTTGCATCATCAACCGTAGGGGCCTGGGTTTAGGGAGTTAGGGGGAGAAGTAGAACAATGCTCTGGGGCTCATAGTGCTGTATAGCACTACCCTAAACCCTATGTAGACCCTAAACCAGAATATGGACTACCAGGGGGATACTAAGAGTTTGGGGATAGTTGGAGCTCTGAACTGCTCAAAGTGGAAGGAATGAGAGGCTTCGGGAGCAAGCTCCTGGATTCGGTTCTATGGGCGTTTAGGGTTTCGGGTGTAAGGGGGTGATCAGCTTGAGTAACGGGTGTAACAAGTGCTTCGAGTTGAAGCGCCCCGAGCTCCAAAATCAGCAGCAAGAAGCCGGGGCCTTTACGGTGCACCCACTTCGTGGCATCACTGCACTTCCAGTTCTTGCAGCTCTTCCTCGGGATTGAGGGTTCATGGGTCTTTGACGTTGGGGGCTTGCAGGGTTGAGCGTGTGGGTTCTTGGGCCCCAACCATGCGTACTGGGAAGCGTTATGAATGCTGCTGTTACTGGTAGCAGCCCCTCTCGCCTCAGATCGCTTCCCTCACCGGCAAGCCCCGAACCTTTCAATGGAGTGTGGGCTTTGAGTATCGGCGGTCAGGTTTTACGTTGAAGATAGAATTCCTTGACGGAGATGACCCAGAGGGTCCAAGTTCCAATATAGTAAGTAAGCACTTTGTACATGTGTGGGCCCCAAAAGTATCTACCAATATACTATACTGTTACTTGGACCCTTTGGGTGAGAGCTCCGCATAAGAAGGTCTGATGCGGTGCCCAAGCCTTAATAATCCGAAATCGTATGTAAACCCTCAGCCTCCAAGCCCCTAAGCCCTAAACTCTCAACCCCAAACAAAGCTCATCTCCCGGAAACCCTAGACCCTAAATTTAAACCCTAAACCCCGAAACCCTAAACCCTAAACCCTCCTAAACCCTCAACCCCAAACAAAGCTCATCTCCCGCAAGTCACGAGCAGGCTGCCAGGGTGGTTCTCCTAATTAGCCTACTTACAAGTGCATCAAGCTATGTGTTGAAATTCAGACTCAGTACTACGAGCACGTTTTTCTCATCATTTTTTCTATAAAACCAATCATACCCGCAAGCTGGCGACCACTACTATGAGGCTATATTCCTGACTCAAAACTGGTGGTCGGCAGTCACAAAACAAGGGGAATACACCGTCAATCGAAGCGGCTTACGCTTCAGGACTTGGGGTTTAGGGTATTGCATTGAGTCTTGTCTTTTGCTTTTTATTTTTAAAGGGACTTATATGGATTTGAACATAGTATCAATTTGATACTGATAAACAGATTGATTGACGTATTGATTGCTTGCATGATGGATAGATGGATGGACGGACGGACGGATGCATGGATGCATGGATGGATGGGTGGATGGACGGACGGACGGAGGGAGGGACGGACGGACGGAGGGAGGGACGGACGGACGGACGGAGAGACGGACGGACGGACGGAGGGATGGATGGAGCGTCTTCAAGGGGTTCTATATGAGGGTTGAACATAGGGTTCCGAGGGCGTTGCGTGGTTGCATGAACTGCGAAAGCCCTAAACTCACCCAGCGCTTGCTCATTTCGCCTTCAGCGAGCGGGTCTGTGGAGTCTCTGGGTTTCCAACACAAGCGTTGAGGGGCTCAGGGTTCAAGAGCTTCCCCCCTCACATCTCCGGAGTCGCGAACTCGAACACGGTTTGAGCTTTATCGTCCGTCTCGTGGCAGGTAAAAAAAGTCTGCGTGCTCCCCGACAAGATCCCACGCGGCCACTCGCCTTCAATGTAGCTCGGGGAAAACTCGAGGGGAATTTCGCGCACTTGGCTCTGCGTAGGCCACTCGATCAGCTGCATGCTCTCATAGAAAGCGTCCTCACCAGAACGGGTTGGCATCAGCAAGAGGCGGTCCCCCAAAGCCTGGGTTGCTGTTAAGGAGCTTAAACTAAGTTTGTATCATAACACAAAGACTCCATTGTTTGAATTAAATTAGTATGGTAAGGAACCCCTATCATTTACAATATGTGTATATATATATATGTATATCTATCTATCCCCGTTATGGTAACTTAAATTTCCTGAACAGCAACCCAGAAGCCTGGCAGGTGTGGCCAACATGGCCCACGGCTTTCCAGGTGGCCAGCGGCTTCGGCTCCCCTCCTTCTTGCAGTTCCTGGGTTCTTGTTGCGGATTTTTTGCTATAGATCCCTATTATTAAGATAACTTGAGAACTCAAGTCCTGAACAAGAAGCCTATTATTATGACAACTTGAAAAACTAAATTCCTTCACAAGAGCCCAGGTTCACAAACTTCGAACTTGAACTCCCGCGAATAATCCCAACCGGGATCTTGTTGAGCGCAAACTCGGGCGAGCCTGAGATTTTGGTTACGGAATTTGCCAGGACCCTCCTGGTACCTTCAAGTAGGGGTATATGGTCCCGAATACTGGGTGTTTGGGGTCTAATACAGGGCAGATGAGGGTTTGGGTAGTTTAAGTTACTTGGGTACGTAACTTAAATGAAGTTCCTCAACAGTACTATTACTAATAAGAACTCAGGAGCAGCTTGCCGCAGCGATCACGACCAAAGATCCCGGCATCACTGAGTGTGCTTCGTGGGGCAAATTTGCCACTGTCGGACTTGTCGCCCTCCTGCCAGTCGAAGTTGCGCAGAACCGGGTTATAGCCCTCCACACGAGGATCATGCCCATGGAACACGGCTGGGAACTTAAACTTGAAGGGAACAGGAGCACCTTCTGCCTGGAAACGGGCCGCGCGGATATCGTCCTCCTCCAGTCCATAGAGGAGGAATTTCCTGGGTTGCTGGATTATTTACCATATACTCCCCTATGGTAAGTTATAATTATAAGTTCCTTAACAGCCACCCAGCTTCTGAAGCATCCCATCCTTCAGGCCCTCCATGGCTTCACCCGGCAACCCCGGAGCCATCAGCACGGTGGCGCAGCCGTTCTCCAGCTTGAAGGCGTGGATGCCGTGACCCTCCGGCAGAGGTAAGGGGACCCTTCTTGCGCTGATGTAGCCAGAGCTGGTCGGCACAGAGCCCTCCAATGCGAAGGGCTCGTTGGCACCGATCAACCAGACGTCCGAGGCCTCGAAACGCTTGATCTCGTAGGGGCCGATGAAATCCGAGTATTCAGGGGGCCCTGGCCAGCAACACCCCGCGGAAGCTCCACCATCTTCGCCACGGCTGTCATCATACTTCCGCCAGGCCGGGCGAACTGGGAATGCTAGGAGGCGATCGCGACCCACTTGCTGCACCTGGGCGCCCTCACACTAAACCCTAAGGATCCATGTACCCAAGTCGGATGTACTTTGGCCTTCAAGTAGTTCCTATATAATGGTACAAGGGTCCATGGACCCAAATAGGATATTTATCCTATTGTGTAGGGACTACTTCAAGGCCTATGCTAGTTGGGCACATGGACCCTCGGGGAGGCTCCCACCCCGAACCCTAAATCCTAAACCCTATACACCCTGAACCCTGCACCCTGAACCCTGCACCTCGACGCCCTCGCAGAGCGGGCCGGTCAGCGGAATTTGGATCCTCTCTTCTGAACTACCCGGGCCCCCGAAAAAGCTGAAACTTTCATAGACTAAATTAGGGTTTGGGGTTCGGGGTTTAGGGCAAACGTTCTATCATCGACAAAGCATATACAGCCGATAAGTTTAACTTACTTCCCCAATAAGCCAGGCAAAATACAAGGTTAACAAATTTTCAGATTACTACTAAGTTATAAGAACGAAAAAAAGTTTAAAGGTTGGGTATTGGAACTAAGCTAAATTGCTCCCCTTGGCTGTGTAAGGATCGAGTTCCAAGCGATCTTGCTCTCGCGCCAGAGCTCGAGCGCCGGCACCTGAAAGTCTCGGATCTGCTGTGTTTTAGAAGGGTTCTATAAGGGTTTAGGGTTTAGGGTATATAAGGGTCTATAAGGGTTTAGGGTTTGGGGTATAAGCTTCTATAAGGGTCCATGTACCCCAAGAATCATCTACTTCGGCCTGTAAAGGAGCTCTCACATAGGTACTTTGGGGCCAAAGTGTCTACGACTTGGGTACATGGACCCTGCGGGGTTGGTTTTGAGAAGGTGATATTGGGTTTAGGATTGAGAGATTTAAAGGTTTTCGGTTGTTCTTGAAGGGTTTATATAGGGCTGGCGGATTTAAAGGTTTCATGCTTTTCGGGCTTCAGGGTATAGGGTCTTAGGATCTATGGCTTGTACGATGGCCTCATCCCTGAACACTCTGCCTTCCAACTATTAAGCTACATGCACCTTGTTGTATTGCTTTTCATATAGTTGGAATATCGAGTTTGGGGTCATTTATACACAAATCGTACACAGGATCAAAAACTCTGGGGATATGATCACTAAGTATTACGACCCCTATACTACCCAACAAGGGTCTGGCAAGAACTTACCCCTAAACCCTAAACCCCGAAACCCCAAAGCCCACGCCCTAAACCCCTCCTTCACCACGTCCACCGTGCCGCCATCTCCAAGGCCCGAATCCAACAGGGTCGCACTGTCGCGCAGCACCTGGGCTTAGGGTTGAGGGTCTTCCGTTTAGGATGGCTTATAGGGCTTGTAAGGTTTAGGGTCTTGGCTCGAAACCCTAAAGGCCTTCACGCCATCGACTCCGTAGACCCTGAAGCCCTACAGTGCCAAACCCCATGGAAACCCTGAACCCGAAACTCCCCGGCGAAACCTCGGAGCCACTCGTCAGGCGTAAGCCGCAGCGCAGCTCAGCGGGGCCTCCGTGCCCAGCGGCCACGGCAGCGCGGCGGAGCCGTGCCACGAGCTCAAGGGGCTCCGCCGTTACTTTGGCAATCCTGGGCTCTGATTCAGGGGGAGTATATGGTTCAGGCTCTGGGATTTGGAAGTTCAAGAGTTTAGGGCTTAGGGGGGAATGCGTGAAGGATAATTAATAAGGGCCCTTAGTACGTAGGTTTTCGGTGGGTTGTAGCTTCCCCAATTGTGGGTTGCTTTGCCCTCCGATCTTTCAAGCATAAAGCAGGCTTCCGCATAGTGGGGACAAGCAGTGAATACTAGGGCTTCCTGATTTCAAGTAGCTCAAGCTTAACCTGAGCCCCAAATAACCTATCTTTTTGCAGGACCTTATGTGACGAATGCATCATAAGGAACCCTGAAAACGTAGCTGCTCTACGGGCCAGGAACTTCCGGTTTCTAAGATCGTATACTGTAAGATCTCCAAAACCCCCAGTCTAGTACCCGTACCCTATCCTAAACCCTACAAAACCTAAAACCCTAAACCCTAAACCTGAACCCTAAACCCAGAGTTCCGAGAGTCTCCGCGCCAGAAGCACCAACTCTCAAGACGATTTCGGGCATCTTGCAGCCAGGAAAATGTGGTGCTTGGCGCCCCCAAAGCTGAAAAATCTTGAGCCGACTGTCTCATGTGCGGTATATATATATATATATAGGCCGTAATAATTTAAACTAGGGCGTATGGGGTATCTTATGATATGTATGATAGGGAGCCCGAAGGACGAGTAAAGGATCGGAAGTTGGCGAACCGGGCGAGGCATCTGATTGTCGAGGTGTACGACGAAGTAGAAAGCCCGCTATGCCACAAGAGGTTTATACAGCTCAGTACACGTCAAAGGCGCTGCAAATTTGGGTATGGATCTCATCAAGAAGTGCACACAACCTCCGACCACCACAAACCCTTCCGCAGAAAATCCTCTCAAATAAAAAACACACTACACAATAATCACAAGACACATCTCTTTTGATTCCGTTCCAAAGCCCTCCGACCAGACTGGGCCCCGCGCTCCTCGCAGCACTCTTCGTCGGTGCTACCCAGGCGCTTGCTGGGACTCACCAAGAGTTGCATGGACTGGCAAAGATGTTTCGGCTGGGACAGACGAGGCTTCTCTTACAGGTCTATTTAAGGTTTAGGGCTTAGAGCTATGGGGTTTAGGGCTTATAGGTTATACGGGTCTAGGGTTTTAGGGTTATAAGAGTTTGGGGTTTAGGGTTTAGAGCTTACAAGGCTAAATGGAGATCCTACCGGTTTTTTTATAGAGGCTTGATAACTGTAATACTGTAATCTAGAAAGTCTGTGTGTAGTATTCTTCGTTAGGGGTTCGAAGGGGATATATAGAGGAGATTCACAGGGCTGCATATGGGGGTTTCCATAGGGCCTTGCATGGGGTTCGGGGCATACCATCCTCTACTTCTCTGTGTACTATGCAAGGCCCCTGAGGCTTTGGCTTCGAGTAATATAATATAACATAACACAACATAATATGATATAACATATATTATAATATAAAAAATAAAAGATACTCCAATAAAATATACTGTAATATTATATAACATAAGACGTAGGCGCTATGGGGTTCAGACTTCAGGATTCCGAGGAAGTAGAGTGTAGGAGGCAGGAGTCATCGAGTCGAAGGCTCAGGATTTGGGGCTCCGAGTTTGGGGTGGAGCGTTAGGCCGTTTAGGGCTTAGGACTTAGGGTTTAGGGTTTAGAGTTTAGGGTTTAGGGTTTAGGGCTTGGGATATATGTTTTCAGGGATTAGGAGTTGGGAAGTTCCCAGGACTAAGTCTTGGCTTCGGGGTGGAATTTC